AAAGCTTTGAATACCTTTTGTAAAAAGTGACTTTAGGCATCAGTGTTTTGTTTATATCCCTGAACTTTATATAGTCCAGAGTGATCTGTTTTACAATTGAGTTTCCAGTCCAAGCTAGGTGTGGGTCAGTGAGGCAAACTGTTTATATACTGTAAATATAGTAGTTTTTATTAATATAAAACGCTGTATGTTAATATTCTCACCTATTACCATTCAAAAGTTTTTTTTTTTTTTATTAATAATTTTATTCAGAAATTACATTAAATTGATCAAAAGTGACAGTAAAGACATTTATAATGTTACAAAAGATTTCTTTTTCAAATAAATGCTGTTCTTTTGAACTTTCTATTCAACATCCTATTTTGATAATAGGGTATTTCTGTCAGGATCATTGACCTGTTTTGTTGTGCTTTGCCCGTTTCTGTTCCTGTGTTCCCTTATTTGGTCATGTTCCTGTCCTCGTTTAGTTTAATTAATTGATTCCCCGCACCTGTCTGTCCTTCGTTAAGTTTAGTATAAATGTGTAATCTGCCTCATGTTTCCTTGTCGGGTCGGGTCAGTAAAAGGCGGATTCGAACCCAAGTCAATCGCGTCAAAAGACTACGGTACACGCTTTACCATCTACGCCACTGAAGCTGACGATTATCAGAATCAGAATCAGAATCAGAATTAGCTTTATTCGCCAGGTGTGCAAACACACAAGGAATTTGTTGTGGTTTTTTAAGGTGCTCCTGGTACATACATACATGCATACATACACATCTGACATGAGAACAGAAAAAAAAAAACATTTAAATAGTAAAAACTTAACAATAAATAATGTGTATGAATCTGGTACAGTAGATTTATGTACAGATTTGTGCATCATTTACTCTATATAGAACTGTATAAATAAATAGATATGCATATGTATTACACATGTCCTCACAGAAACTGATGTAGGATGTCACTGTCACAAAAGTGCTGTGTAAAAACAGGAGGACTCAAATGCTGTGCCAAAAAAGGAATGAAGTTTATTAGAAACTTCGGATGGTAACATCAAAACGAGACAACACAAAATTCAGGAGAAAACAGGGCTCCCAGTGCCCACACCCAACGGGACTGATGGCTGGGAGGATGACAGAGAAGAGTTCAGTCTAGCGCTCCCAGTCCAGACACTTTATCCAGTGGATTCATTAATCCTCGCCTGAGGATCCTGGACACAGTACCAAAAAATGAGAATCTGTCCACCACAGTGAGGACCACGGTATTGCCACCAGGCGGGGGTAGGCCTGTGACAAAATCCATGGCGATGTGGGACCAGGGTTTCGAAGAGATAGGCAGCGGTCGGAGAAGCCCTACTGGGGGTCGATTAGAGCCCTTACCCACCGCACATACCGGGCAGGCCAACACGAACTCCCGAGCGTCCCGCGCTACCGACGGCCACCAGAACCGCTGCTTAATCAGCGCAAGTGTCCGAGCCACTCCTGGGTGGCAAGCTAGTCTAGAAGAATGGCCCCACTGAAGGATGCTGGTTCGAACTGACTCAGGTACAAATAACAGACCATCTGGGCATCTCGCGGGGATAGTAACGCCAACTAGTGCCTCGCGGACCCTGGATTCCACCTCCCAGGTGACCGCCGCAACCACCCGGTTGGGTGGCACAATGGGCACCGGAGAAGAGGATACGGTCTCAGTTTCGAAAGTCCGCGAGAGTGCGTCAGGTTTACCATTCTTACTCCCCGGGCGATAGGAGATAGTGAAGTTAAACCGCCCGAAGAATAGAGCCCAGCGGGCCTGACGAGAATTTATTCTTTTGGCAGAACGGATGTACTCAAGATTTTTGTGGTCAGTCCAAACCAGAAAAGGAACCCCCGCACCCTCCAGCCAGTGACGCCACTCCTCCAAAGCCAACTTAACAGCCAGTAACTCCTTATTCCCAATATCGTAGTTCCGTTCCGAGGGGGTCAGTCGATGAGAAAAAAAGGCGGATGGGTGTACTTTGTCGTCTGAAGGCGATCTTTGAGACAAAATAGCCCCCACCCCGACCTCTGACGCATCCACCTCCACAATAAATTGGCGAGACGGGTCTGGGTTAATTAAAATCGGGGCTGAAATGAAGCGGCCCTTTAGTCTTTCGAAAGCCTCTTGAGCCTGTTCAGACCAACAGAATCGCCAACGTGTGGAGGTGAGATTAGTCAAAGGCAAGGCGATCTGACTAAACCCTCGAATGAACCGCCTGTAAAAGTTCGAAGGCTGAAGACATCAACGGCAAGGGATGACTATTCTTGACCATAATGTCATTCAGCCCCCGATAATCAATGCAGGGGCAGAGCGATCCATCCTTCTTCTCTACGAAGAAAAACCCCGCCCCAGCCGGACAGGAAGAAGGACGTATAAACCCGGCTACTAGAGACTCATTGATGTATTTCTCCATGGCCTCCCTCTCAGGACCGGAGAGCGAATAAAGGCGCCCCTTAGGTGGAGAAGTGCCAGGTAATAAATCTATCGCACAATCATACGGGCGGTGCGGAGGAAGGGATGAAGCTCGGGACTTACTGAACACCGCTCTCAAGTCATGGTAAGCTGCCGGAACATTTGCCAGGTCAACCGGCTCCCCCTGTAACACAGAAACAGACATGACAGGGGATGAAGCAGACACTAAACATTGATTCAGGAGAAAACGGGGCTCCCAGTGCCCACACCAACGGGACTGATGGCTGGGAGGATGACAGAGAAGAGTTCAGTCTAGCACTCCCAGTCCAGACACTTTATCCAGTGGATTAATTAATCCTCGCCTGAGGATCCTGGACACAGTACCAAAAAATGAGAAGCAGAGAGGATATCTCAAAACATACAAGGTAAGGGCAGACGTAACACAAATGACATACTGACACAGAGAGAAGCCATCGACGGGAATAAATAGGAAGGGGAAACGAGTAACAGGTGCGCAATTAGTGGAGCACACAGCGCTGCGAGTTAGCGCTGATTGCTCCCCCACGTGCAGTAGCAGATGACAGGAAAATAACAAACCACCATGTGCCGCAGACAGAGACAAAACACGGATGAACAGCAGGAATGAGTCGGAGAGAGGTGCCGACCATTACAGAATCCCTCCCCTCAGGGATGCCTCCTGGCATCTCCGGAAGACTCACCATGACGACGATGGAATTGGTCTATGAGAGCGCGATCCAGTATGTCACGAGCCGGAATCCAGCATCTCTCCTCCGGACCATAACCCTCCCAGTCTACCAGATATTGGTGACCCCTACCCCTTCGCCTCACGTCAAGGAGCCGTCGTACAGTGTAGGCAGGCAACCCCTCGATGAGTCTGGGAGGCGGAGGGGCCGAGGTCTGGGGTTGGAGGGGGGAGTGAATAACGGGCTTGATTTTCGAAACATGAAATACCGGGTGAATTCTTTTAAGCATAGGGGGTAGTTTGAGTCGAACCGTCACCGGGTTAAGCACTTTGGCCACAACGTACGGTCCAATGAATAACAAACAAAAAAAGTACAAGTACCAAGTAGCGACAAACCATGGCTGCTATCAGCCGTCTTTTATAGTGCTGACCATCCCTATCACACGTTTGTGGGTGGAGCTACTGTAAATAGCCTCTGCCAACAAGGAGGGCTATTTGCACTTACTGTAAATAGACACTCCGTTCGTTTTTGGCCACTGAAAAGGTGTACAGTGTATCAGTTTACTCTTAGAGCCATATTTAGATCCTAATATCTCTGGAAATTAACCAAATAGGACCGTAAAACTTTTGAAAAAAACAAACTTTTTTATACCAAAACAAACTTTTCTTTTGGTATAAAAAAGTTTGAAGATACCAAAAGAAAATTGTTCCTGTGGCTCAGTGGTAGAGCATTGCGTTAGCAGCGCAAAAGGTCGTGGGTTAAATTCCCAGGGAACACACATACTGGTAAAAAATGTATAGCCTGAATACACTGTAAGTCGCTTTGGATAAAAGTGTCTGCTAAATGCGTAAATTAATTAATTAATTAGAAAAGTTTAAGACCCAAAAGTTTAAAGGACAAACTTTAGAAAAAAATTTAGAAATTGTTTTATTATATAATTGTTTTGTAATGCAACAACGATTGTCAAAGTAAACAGATTTTACTAATAGACCTACCATTCTCTGTGTAAAAGTAAGATAATGATGCTGCCATCTTTCTGAAGTCATTTTTACTCTTATCTGTAATTTGAAATTTGGCTCCAAATCTCAGGTGAAAACTGTCATTTTGACCTCCTCTAGCAGTGTATTACTCTGTAAATATTCATCGATGACATAATATTTTGTATTTCTTATTTTTTCTATGTATTTCTTTCACCAGAAAAAATAGGAGCAAAATCAAAAATCTGATCCGGGGACCTCTGGTTGAGTTGGAATGACCCTAAAATCAGAACTGTTTCATGAGCTGCAAATCAGCATATTAGAATTATTTCTGAAGATCATGTGACACTGAAGACTGGAGCAATGATACTGAAATTTCATATTTGATCACAGGAATACATTATATTTTAACAGATATTCACATAGAAAACAGTTATTTTAAAGTATAATAATATTTCTCAATATTACAATTTTTACTGTTTTTTCATCCAATAAATATAGCCTTGGTAAGCATAAGATACTTCTTTTAAAACATAACCATATTGTGTATATTTATTTCAGTGACCCAGTCAGGCCAGTGCTTCATTTACCAGCTTCTCATTCCAAATTAATTTCAATATTGATTTTAAAATCCTTGACCCTTGTCCTTAAACTCCCCTCCCCTCCCCCTACGCCTCTGTATAAAGCCCTTGGTGTCTTTGTATTTGGGAACCTCATCCTGACTGTGAAAGTCTTACAGGCACTTATTATGAAGCCCAGATAATTACATGGCAGTATCGGAAGACATCCTCCGTAGCAGAGCTGCTATTATTTCCCTGAGTTCCGCTGTCTTGGGGAATATCACAATGCTTGCTTGTCCGGATGTGAAATTTAATTTAGATCTTTATTTTCCCTCTTTCTCTAGACTGATCCCGCAGACGGTGGGTCTCCTGTACGTGGGGAGATATGACATGCCCTTTGCACAAATGAAGGTGAGAGAAACATTGGTTCACATCTCTGATAATTCCTTCTGTCAGCGTTCCCTCTGTCTGATTCACTGCAAATACAGAAACTGGTAAAGATAGTCGTGTCATTGTCAAGTGCTCTTTACATGATGTGCTTTTAATTAATTGAGTCAGACAGGTGAACGTTGTGTCACTCAAGAGTTCTGTTCTTAAACCCAGTGATCGGCCTGCCTAGACAGTAGTTTGAGGAATCATTCAGTAGGTGTGCACTTGATGTGCAGGCTGTTAGCAAAAATGGGCCAGAACAATAGAACATATTGTAAGATGGAACATATTGTATGACTATTTAGACACAAACAACTGTAAAGGCCCGTTGACAACTATAATGATAACGTTAAAGATTATATTATAGTTTTAAAAATCGTTCTGTGTATAAGAAAAACATAGACCACACTGCGACTATAACAAAAACAGCACAGAGGATTGATATCGTTGGAATCACGTTCAAAATGATTTTTCCAACTGATGAACTATAAAAACAGTGACAGCCAGGGCAGGACTTAGGGGGGTGGGGGCCCCTGGGCTTGAGGTTAGTTGTTGTTTATTGTACATTTGGGATCGTGTAGATATTCGGAAAAAAAACAGGACTCTTGTTTGTGTGATAGGCTAAGTCCTATATCATAGGCATAGCCATGTTATACAAACAGAAACTCATTAAATTGCTATTTTTTTTTTTAAATCATTTTGATGACATTTCTGCCCCACTATGTGTAATGGCAGTGAGATGGGAGAGAGTGCCCAAAACTCTTCAGATCGCATAATTTAGTGGAACATTAATATAATATAAAATCATCCTCTGTAAAAAATGAGGCATGCACACATGAGAATTTATCATTATCTTTCTAAATGTGCGCTCTTTTGGGCTAAAGGCTTAATGGAGCTGTTTGAAGTAGCCATATGTTCACAAATTAATCAGCGCAGTCGCGATTCAGTACGTATGTCCTTCTACTATGTGAAATAATCATAACTAGCCTACCAGTTTATGCTGTTTGATTATGGCCTCAAAGGTAGTAGTTGGAAGCTGCCCCAGCTGGCCGTTTAGCCCTTGTGTGTGCAGTGGAAATGCGGCTAATCATTTCTGACTGGTATATAACCGAACAAATCAAACAAACATAAACGGGCAAAAGCGGGGCCCATGGGCTGCAGCCCAGTCAGGCCCAATGGTAAGTCCGGCCATGAACCCAGCACTACGTCAAAAAAAAAAAAAACAGCAAATGGGTTAATGTATAAAACCA